TTTCCATTTACAGTCATTACAGAATATTGGCTGTATTCCCCCTGTTGTACAATACATCATTAAGCCTATCTTATGCCCAGTAGTTCGTACCTCCCGCCTCCCCCACCCCATGTTGCCCCTCCTCCCCGCTGGTGACCACGAGTTCTCTATGTCTGTGAGTCTGCTGCTGCTGCTTTTTTTTAATTGAAGTACAGTCGATTACAACGTGTCTGCTTCTTTTTTGTTATATTCCGTGGTTTGCGGTTTTTTTAGATTTAAGCGGGCTTCATCTTAAAGAGACACGTTCACAATTGTTTTATGTATGCCTCGACGTGGGTAAAGCGATTTCCCAAAAGTAGGTCATGGTTTGTGTTTTTTCTACCTATATTGGCACTTGTTCCTCTGATATATGTTCTCAGAGACCCCGACCCAGTGCCCACATCATGCTGAACACTTCCTAGCTTTGAGTCAGGCCGTGTCCAGAGAGTGTCAATTAAAGGTCAGGGAATCTTAAAGCTCCCCCAGGAGTACTGGGTCTGGCCTGGGAATTGAAGAATTCGCTTAACATCCAAGAACCACATTTCTGCAGCTGTAGATAGCAGAGAACGATGTTTGTGTCCCAGTGAAGTTCTAAGACTCAGTGTTCTCAGATGACTGTAGCATTTCAAAAGTAGCATGTGACTCATGCTCTCTGAATTTGCATCAAGACTATTTGTGACAGTACAGTGTCTATCAATGCTAGTAATTACAAGTTTTAAAGAACAGCTCAGTGTGTCTGAATTTGACATATTTGTCACAGGGTAGGTAACTTGGCATTTAGCTGTTGGGTGATCTTTCTCAATAGAACTTTGTCAAAGACCAAATATGTGTTACTCTTTCTCTTGTGATTCTGGACTGTTTTGGAGAACAAAGTCTTAAAGCAGTAAAGAATGGAAACACCCCAAGGTTAAAACCCTTTATAAATCAGCCCATTACACTGTGGATTCAATTACATTGTTGGCCAGTGAGGACCTAATTAGGCTTTTTTGTTTGTGTGTACATTGTTCTATTTTGTAACGTGTGGAGGACTGGCCACCAGGAAGGCATAGTGATGAAGTATTACTATTAAGTGGCTCTGGGTTGACAATGGCCACAGAAATCCCCAAGCTGTGATTATCACAAACTTGAGTCTGAGAAACACAGTTGCCTCTCATCAAGCTGAAGCACCCAGCTCAGGGCTGCACCTGATGTTGTAAGTGCCTGTTGAAAATACAAATCAAAACATCGTTACAATTCGACAACAAAAAATCGAATGACCTGATTTTAAAAATGGGCAAAGGACTTGAATAGACATTTCTCCAAAGATGATATACAAAAAGCCAATACGCACATGAAAGATGCCCAGCATCACTCATTATCAGGGAAATGCAAATCAAAACCACAGTGAGATACCACCTCACGCCCATCAGGATGGCCACTTTCAAGACAAAAACAAAAACAAAAACAAAAAACAGAAAATGATGAGTGCTGGCAACTATGTGGGAAAATTGTAACCCTTGTGCACTGTTGGTGGGAATGTAAAATGGTACAACTACTATGGAAAACAGTATGGTATTTCCTCAAAAAAATTAAAAACAGAACTGCTGTATGACCCAACAATCCTACCTCTAGGTATATAGCCACAAGAATTAAAAGCAGGATTTTGAAGACATATTTGCACAACCAATCCATAGCATCATTATTCACAATAGCCAAAAGATGGAAGCAACCCAAATGTCTGAGGGATGAATGGATAAACAAATGTGGTATTTACATACAATGGAATACTATTCAGTCTTAAAAAGGAAGGAAATCCTATCACATGCTACAACATGGGTGAACCCTGAGGACATTATGCTAAATGATGTCACAAAAAGTCAAAGACTGTGTGGTTCCACTTATATGAGGTATCAAGGTAGTCAAATTCAAGGAAACTCAAAGTAGAATGGTGGTTACCAGTAGCTGGGGATAGGGAGAAAAACAAGAAGTTTGTTTAATGGGCATAGAGTTTCACATTTGCAAGATGAAAAAGTTCTAGGGATCAGTTTCACAACAATGTGCATATACTTAACAGTAGAGAATTTTGAACTCAAAAATGGTTAAGATGATATATCTTTTGTGTTTTTTAAACCACAATTTAAAAAAGCATTAAGGTGCATGATAGATTAATTGCATTAAAAGCCCAATTAATGGGTTCCCTGTATGTTGTTTGCCTTATAGCTTCCCAGTCCCTTCACACATGGACTCTGGGCTTGGTACATAAAGTGCAGTCAAAAAGATGCTATGTGACTTCTGAGGCTAGGTCACAAAAGGGATACAGTCTGCCTTGCTTTCTCTCTTCATTTGAGACATTCACCTTGGGGACCAAGCCAGAATGCTATGAGGAAGCCCAAAGTAGCCAATGTGGAGAGGCTGCATGGAGAGATCCTTGCGGAGAGAACCGAGACCTGCTAGCTGACTGCCAGCATCAGCTTCACTAAAAAGATACACAGATGGTAAATAAGCACTGAAAAGGTACTCAGCATCATTAGTCAAAAGGGATGTACAAATTAAAATCACAATGAAATAACCACTGTAGTAAGTACTGGCAGATATGTGAAAGAACTAGGACCTCCTACATTGCTGACGGTAATGTAGAATGGTCCAGCGCTTTCTGAAATAGTTTGGCAGTTTCTTACAAAGTTAAACATACACAATGTACACTTGCCATGTGACCCAGCCACCCATTCCTAGATGTTTACCCAAAAGAAAAGAAAACTCTATCCTTACAAAGACTTGTACATGATTATTCACAGCAGTTTATTTTCTAACAGTAAAAATCGGGAAAATACCCAAGTGTTTGGTTATCAACAGTGGTATATTCATACAATGGAATACTACTCCCTGATAAAGAGGAATTAACTAAACAACAAGATGCTGCTCTACTCCAATTAGTTTGACTTATATCCAAAACAGTGACTACTCTGTTGGCAAGGATGTGGAGCAACAGGAAGTCTCACCCACTGCTGGTGGGCATGTCAAATGGCACAGCCACTTTGGAAGACTGTCTGGCAGTTTCCTGCAAAGCAAAATAAGAGTCTTACCACCCAATCCAGCAATTTTACTCCTTGGTATTTACCAAAAGTATTGGTACTGAACATTTAGGTCTACACAAAAACCTGCACATGGTTTATAGTAGTCTTATTCATAATTGCCAAAACTTTGCCAAAACTATGGAAGCAACTATGATGTCCTTCAATAGGTAAATGGATAAACAAACTGTGGTACATCCAGACAATAGAATATTATTTTGCACTAAAAAATGATCTGTTAAGCCACAAAAAGACATAAAAGAAACTTAAATGTATATTAATAAGTGAAAGAAGCCAGTCTGAGAAGGCTCATACTATATTATTCCAACTATATGACATCCTAGAAAAGGCAAAACTACAGAGACAGTAAAAAGATCAGAGTTCAGAGGGAGGGAGGCAGGGTTGAATATGTGAAGCACAGAATATTTTTAAGAAAGTGAAATTATTCCATTTGATACGATAATAGTGGATACATAACATTATGCATTTGCCAAAACCCTCAGAACTATACAAGGCAAAGAATGAACCTTAATGTAAACTATGGACTTTAATTAATAATGTATCAATATTGATTCCTCAATTGTACATCAAATGTACCACACTGATGCAAGATGCTAATAAATTGTGGAAATAGGGTAGTCTCTGTAGTTTCTGCTCAATTTTTCTGTAAAACTACAACTTTCTCTTTAAAAAAGCTTATTAGCTAATAAGAATGAAATATTACATGCAAGATGGATAAATGTCAAAATAATTGTGCTGAGTAAAAGAAATCAGACAAAAATTACACATTGTATGTATGATTCTATTTGTATAAAATTCCAGAAAATGCAAACTAATGTATAGTGAATAAGGCAGATGAGTGGTTGCCTGGGACAGGAGTGGGGTGGGGAGATGAGGGTGAGGTGTAGGGAAGGGTAGGAGGGAAAGAGTACAGAGGGGCAGGAGGACACTTTTGCAGGTGATAGACATGTTCATTATTTTGATGTGATGGTTTCATGGGTATATACACATTAAAACTTATCAAATTGTATATTTTGAGTGCAGTTTATTGCATGTCACCTATTCCTTAATAAATCTGTTTTTTAAAGGCCAAAGCCAGAAAGTAACCAGACCATTTATTAATGTTCATGATGCTAAAGTTGTTCATAGGACAGTTTGGCTGACCTGGACTAGACTCCACTGATCCCAGCTGGGCTCGCTCAAGCCTCCGTGGTCAATTGGCTGGCTGCCTGGGGACTGCCTAATCTAGAGGACCCTGTATGGGAAGTTTCCATACTCCTTCCCACATCTCCCACATTCTGCAGCAGGCCAGCCTGGGCATCATCTCATGGTGATGGCAGTGGTCTAGAAGAGGGGAACTTTTTAAAGCTGCTTTTTTGTCAAGTTTCTTTTTGTCCCCTTGGCCAAAGCAAGCCGTGTGTGCAAGTCCAGACTCAGTGTGGTAAGGGATGAAGGAATGATGTGGCAAAAGGCCATTATTTACAGGGATACAATGATGCCATTAATTGGGCTATTAATGCATTTAATCCATCATGTCCTTAATGATCTTTTAATTTGTACTTCTTTAATTCCATCAGGAATGTACCTTTGTTCAGTGACTTTTACATGATGTTACTGTCTTATATATCATTTGCAATCCCTTTTAATCTCTTATTGAATGTAGTTTTTGATTTTATGTATTTGCATTGATTATAGAAATTGTTAAGTTTTGTTGTGACATTTGTCACATTTTCATGTTCTCGTAAATGACTCTTTTGCTGTTTTGTTATTTGGTTCAACTTCCAGTAAAATGTGTTTAAATATTTTCTTTTGACTTCAATGGTTATGTAAGTTGAACTTTCCTCACTAGCTGGGCTACGTCTATTTTTCTGTTTCCTTCTAATTAGAACTGTTTTCAGAAACATTTTACTCTGAGCTATACTTAAAAATTTAACCCCAGAACCAAATTAATTTTGCAGCTGAGGTTATAGAGTCTGACAGAATATTTGGTCTAAGATCAAGCACAGAGCAAGTGGTGGAGGAAGGCTTGAATCTTACTTTCTCTGACTTAAAATTTCACTCATGAAAGTGTATCAAGGTAAGAACATTTGGCTCAGAGATAAAAATCTTCATTTTTGTGCAGAATGTACTTTTTCTCTTTTTTTCTCCCCCTCCTGCTCCCCGTCTTCCTCCTCCTCCTCCTTTTTTCTTCAGCATAGGGTTAGGTCTATCTGTCTTTAAATAACTCTTCTTTTATTCATTTAATAATGTACCAGGTACTGAGCTAGCTGCTGGGAACTTAAAGATGACAATGCAGCAGCTTCTATGCTCCGGTCACAGAGGCTGTGAACAGGTAAATGCAATATGGAAAATCCTTCTGTTTGAAATGTTTACTAATCTGACATGTTACGTGATGCAAGTTACTTTGGTGGTTTTGCTGCTGAGTGGAAGTTTTTGTGACTGGATGGCTTTAAAATTCATTTAATTAATTTTAATATATACATTTTAAAATATATATAATATAAAAATACTTTTTTTCCCCATTGATTACCGCTTTTTGTATGTTTGTTTGTTTAACTGCAAGACGTTTCTGGGTCCTGTGATATCCCCCATTGTTGTATTACCTGTTTTCTAGATACTTCATTCTTCTTTGCTTATTACCGTGGTTGAGTACTGACTCACTTGGGATTTGAATTTACTGAGGGAGTTTATCTTCATTTCATTATCGCTGATCCTTTGTTCTGATTATCTCAGTTATTTCTTAAAGCTTCCTCGGTGTCCTTGTTCCTTATTCATGTTTGCAAGTTAACAGGTAGTGTGCTTGGCTCTCTGCAATCAGCATTTCCTTCTGTCTCCTTGAAAGTAACACTGATACCTTTGTACTTGCTCACAATTTTTAACTTTGTGGCTACCTTCTCCCGTTTATGGTCAATTTACTCTTCCCTCCAGCGCTTCATGCTCGTTTATTGAATCTGTGTTTTCTTTCAGCTTTTGGGAGTTTGCTTTTTTCTCTTCCGTTGATTTCTGAGTATGGAATGTTTACGAGTTCTGGGGTGGCTCATGCTAGGAGGAGTCACCTTACGCCGAAATCTCCCGCCTGACTGGAAGTTCTAGGTAGATTCCAAGCTCAGGGTTCCCTAACTTAATTTTTTCCAATGGAACAGTAGTACATATTTATTATAGAAAAACTAGAAAAATCCAGAAAAGTTTAAAGAGCAAAATGAGTATCACTCATAATCTTAGAACCCAGAGATAAACACTCTAGACATATTTTCTAATAGGATTTTCCAAACATAGATAAATTTTTTCTTTACATAATTGGGATAGCTACTTTATATTCTGCATTTTCCCCACTCAACACATTAACGTGGATTTCTTCCATGTCGTTAAAAGTCTTTAATACTATACTCAATGACTAATATTCTATAATATTGATATATAATCATTTACTTAGCTAGTCTTGTGTCATTGAACATTTTGGCTATCTCCAGTATTTGCTATTATAAATAATACCATAATTAATAAGCCTTATTATTCATAAATTTTTGTCCCTAGATTATTTCCTTAAGGTAGAGTTTTAGAAGTGGAACTGCTGAGTTAAAGGATATAAACATTTTCTCCTCTCTCTTTATTATGAAAGTCATACATGCTGAGGACAAATAACTCAGAGTAAAGTGAAAAGTAAAAGTCCAAAGATTATCATCCTCATCTCTTATTCTCAGTCTCCAGGCAACCAGTAGCTGAAATTTAACATGCATGCACAAATGCATATGCCATTTTTCTGATATTATACATACTCTCCTTATCAGCCTAGATAAACTCACTCTTTATAGGAGTTACTTGGTATTCCATTGTCTGAATATGCTGTGATTTATTTAAATGATTCTGTTTAGATTGTTTCCAATTTTGTCGCTGTGTACATCTGTTATTGAGTCCAAGCTTGTACTGCTCACCTCAGGACAGGCCAATAAATCGAGAGGCGAGTTGTTGTGGCAAGAAATAGTGACTTTATTCAGAAAGCCAGCAGACCAAGAAGGTGGTGAATTGGTGTCCCAAAGAACCACCTTGACCAGGTTTGGCTGCTAGCTTCTTTTACAGAGCAAAGGCAGGGGGTTGGGGGTGATGTGAGGAAGTAAAGTAAAAAATGTGATCTGGTTGCAGCCAGACTCTGGAGGAGATGTATTAATTTCTTCTTTCCTGCAGCCGTTCATAGGTGGGCCTGGTCAGGATGTTTTCAGTGAGCTAAAGAAAGGTATTTTAGCTTAAGGCTCAGGCATGGGAGGCAGGGTTCCCAGAGATGGCCATTATATATACTTTAAATTATAGGCAACATCCCTTTAGTGATTAACTTGTAGCAAGAGCAATAGAACACAAAGGTTAAAGTAAAAGAAACAGACCCAACAAGGAGTCAGATTTGTTCTTTCCTATAATACATTCTTGAACATATATCTTCTTCATTACATCATCAAGATACATTTTTAGCAGTGTGATTTCTAAGTCAAAGGTTATGAAATTTATAATTTTAATATACACTCCCAAACTGTTCTACACAGAAGTTACACTAATTTATATTCCTGCCACAAATGTATAAGAGTGCCAGTTCCCTATATATTTTTTGATGCTGGGTATTTTCAAGATTTCTCATTTTTGCCATAATAGTTTAAAAATAGTATATCCTTTAAATTTTTGTTTCTATTTAATTTTGAGTGAAATTTATATTTTATGTTTATTAACCACTTGTATTTCTTTCCTGTCAACTGTTCATATCTTTTGTCTATTTTTCTATTTGTTGGTGTTAATTTGTATAATCAATTTCTATATCATGGAATTTAACTTGTCATACGTGTTACGAATATTTTCTTCTGGTTTGCCACTTGCCTTTTATCTTTGTGGACTGTTCTGTTTGTTTCTAATTTTTGGAATAAAACTTATCCATCTTTTCCTTCATGTGGTCAAGGTTTTGTATTTTGTATTATATTTAAAGAGACTTTCCAACTCCAAGATTATTTTTTAAATACACAGATTTCTGTCTAACACTTTCACAGTTTTATTTTTTTACTTTTAAATGTGATCCACATGGAACTTATTTTGATGTAAAGAATAAGGTAACCTATATAGCTTTATTTTCTTTTCCAAATAGCTAGCCAATTGTCCAACATTACTTACTAAATAATCTTTCTTTTCCCCACGAATTTCCTCGCTTTTCATATTCTAAATTTCCTTCTGTATAGGGGTCTACTTTTGATGACTCCAATCTGTTTAATTGATCTTTTGACCTGTCCCTCTTTAGTATCAACTCTTCATTTTTCTGGAGTTACTATTTTAAAATCTGGTAAAGCTAGCATCATTTATTACTCTGAAAATGTTAAAACTCATGCTACACATTGCCAAATTACTTTCCAGAATTATGATGTCAACACTGGATCCTTCCCCATACTATTATTTTTTAGAAGTTCTTTGCCAATGTGATTGAAAATGCTTACCTATTTTTCGAATATTAGTGAGTTGATTTCTGTGAAACGTCTGTTTACATTCTTTTTTCCAAGTTTCTATGGATATTTATATTTTTTTAATTGGTATCATGAAATTTCATATATGTGTACATGTCTAACAACATATACACACCTTTAATGTTAAAAATGTAAGTTCTTTGGCATCCTTATTACCAATTTCCCAATTTGCCATATGCTCTTCAATTAGTATGCCTTGTGATATAACAAATTAGAAAATTTTATTCAATCTTCTTTTGTTTAAAAGATTGCTTTTATTGTTAAAAAAAAAATCCTCCTGCCAGAGACCTGACAATTATTCCAGATTATTTTTTTAAAGATTCTAGTGTCTATATTCTTGAGGTGCAGTCTTATTGTTGTTATTGTTATTTTAAATAAAATGTGGGGAAGTGGAGGGGTTGGGTAGATCTCTAGGGTAGAGCTCATGTTTAGCATGCACGAGGTCCTAGGTTCAATCCCCAGTGCCTCTACTAAAAAAAAAAAAAAAAAAAAAAGTGGAGAAGTCAAATGGAGCATTTCTGTCATAAAAGTGTATTGCTATGATGTAGCGTTTTCTTTGCATTTTTATGATTGAACACTTAAAATCAAATGATTTATAATGAAAAGTTATTCATTTTTATAACTTAAAAATATTTTAAAAGTATAGGTATTTCTGCATATGTTTTTTTCTTCCCCAAATAGTAACTGCTTTTCAAAAATTAGCTCCTGTTGTGAAAATTCTCATTATATGTTTGAGAGATAGAGCAATTTCAAGACATAAAAGTTAAATTCTTTAGATTTTTAAAAAACACACAATCTGCATAATTAATAATGATGAGCAGCACCACTTGTTGGATGCATTCAACGAGCTAGGTATTGGGACTTACTCATTTTTTAAAATAATTTGGCCAAAAACTAATAGCTCATTCCTCTGTACCAATTATTTTATTCTACTGCTTCTAAATCACTCTACAAAATAACTAATATTAGGAAATCATATAATTTTCCTTGTGTAAAAGAAAAAAAATCTTGTTATTTGGTCAGATAAGTCATAGGGCTCTTTAATATTTGTACCACTGATTGAATGGAAACAATTAATCATCACATTATTTTAGGACTTGCATGGTCTTCTAGGAAAGCACACCTAACTTTAATGCAGTTTCCTCAGGGTCGCAAATTTGTCTTTTATACTTGTCAATGATTAAACAACTCTTTAGTGCTTGTGTTCAGAATTGATCACCTATAATAAAACACTTGAACTTGCTAGAACAGAGAATCCTTCCCCATTCTGCCATCCCCGCTTCAGAGACTGCTTCTAAGAATGGACGGCCATTTTCTTTTCTGAAAATAGGAAATAAGACTGAAGGCACCTGGGGTCAAACTGAGTGTACAAATGGATATTTATAGAGTTGGCCTGAACTGAGATAAAATAAAATTAGCTTCAGTAACAAAGGTGTTGTTGTTCCCTGTCTCCAGATCCTCTTCCTCTAGGATTCGTAGGAACAGAAGAGACCATCAAAACAAAAAATAAAGAAACGCCTGTTTCCCCTTGCAAAATTCACTGTTTCTTTTTCTCATACCTAGCTAAAAAGAAAAAACTTTAAGCTATTTTTTATTATTGTAAAATATAGATAACATTTACCAATTTAACCATTTATAAGTGTACAATTCAATGGCGTTAAGTACATTTCCATTGGTGTGCAACCACCTCCTGCTTTTTCATCATTCCAAATGAAAACCTTGTACTTGTTAAAGAGAACTCCCCATTACCCACCTCCTTCCAACCCCTGGTGACCACCCTTCTACTCTCTGTCTCTCTGACTTTGTCTAGGTACCTCATAAAAGTGGAATCAATTTCTACTCTTTTGAATCTGGCTTCTTTCACTTCACATAATGTTTTCAAGGTTCATCCTTGTGTAGCACAGTCAGAATTTCTTTCCTTTGAAATGTGTAAATCACATTTTGTTTGTCCATTCATCCATTGATGGACACTTGGCTTGTTTCCACCTTTTAACTGTTACAAAGAATGCTGCTGTGAACGCTGGGGTGTACCCAACCAAGTAACATCTGAAACTGCAGTGGAGCCCTGTCTCCCCTTCCCGTCTCCTCTCCTCTGTGCCCCTGTACCAGTCTAGATTGGAATCCCTCAGTGTTGTGGCTGTAGCTGCCATCAGCTTCACAAGTGTAAAGAGAATTTTTTTAAACCCCCTTTACCTTTACCCTTCCTTCCTTGGCTGGACTTTGTCCAGCCCAGGTTTATTCATAAACCACACAAAGCTCATTAATAGGACCAAGCACTTCAGCAAGTTACCTTCTCACCTTTGTTGCTGCAGGAAGGCACTCCGAGGGGTAAGATTGTGAGACATGGCTGAGGAGAAAAGCACCAGTGACTCCATTGGAATGAGTATGAAGGGAGGCCGGACAAACAACGGGTTTGTCCAAAATGAAGACACCTTGGAGAGGAACTCGGATCCAGGCAGCCCGGAGCACAGCCCGCAGCACGACACCGTGGACGTCCTCGGCCCCGCGGGGCCCGACCTGAAGGACGTCCGGCCCTACGCCGGGATGCCCAAGGAGGTGCTGTTCCTGTTCTCGGGCCAGGCGCGCTACCGGGTGCCCCGGGAGGTCCTCTTTTGGCTCACCGTGGCCTCTGTGCTTGTGCTCATCGGGGCCACCATAGCCATCATTGCCATCTCTCCAAATTGTCTCGACTGGTGGCAGGCGGGACCTATGTACCAGATCTACCCAAGGTCTTTCAAGGACAGCGACAAGGATGGGAACGGAGATCTAAAAGGTGAGTGCCCGGGAGGGTTTAGGGCGGGGCAGCGACAAGGATGGGAACGCAGATCTGAAAGGTGAGTGCCCGGGAGGGTTTAGGGCGGGGTCGGAATGAGGCTGGTTTACGGCTCTTTTCCTTGAGAGCTAAATACACGTAGGTTGTGCGGTAAGGACATTCCATCCTGTATGACTGGTCACACTAAGTTTTCTTTGTTTATGATACTTAAAAAAGCCACTCAGCAGAATCCAGCAATTCTTCCCGTATGATGGTGTTGTTTCCTGGAGCCCTTTGAGCCCCAAAAGAGCTGTTCATTTTATTGCCCACTGCAAACCTATGCTTACTTGGTCATCAATTCCAACTTCTTGTATGAGCAGGTTCCTTCCTGAAATGTGTTCAGCTTCTCTGCGCTTTGGAGTTGATTATCTCAGAGTGACTGTTTAGAATTCCTTTCCCAGTATGCGCAGTGGCTAGTTTGGCTGAGGGTTTCTTATTAACGAACGAAGTGTTAATAATATTTTAGGAAAAGATTAAGTGATACATTTAAAGGGTATCGGCTGAGTCTTTAAATCTTAAATCCTGAGAAATGAAGGAAAGAAAAAACAGGCAAAGCAGTGGATTGGTCAAAAGTTGCATTAAGGATTATTTAAAACAATATCCATATTAATATAAAAAAGAAGGAAAAATGACTTTTTAAAGTTATACTAACAAGACAGGCTGGGACCTGGGACCTTCTACCAGTGTGCTTGCACTTACATACCTGACAAACGTCTCCTTGAGCAACAGAATACAAAGAAACTATAAGGGACTAAACAGACCTGCAGGCGTGCACAGTTGAGCAAATTATGAACAGTAAGATACAAAAAGGCCAAAACCCAACTGTCACATCTGAGTGCTGGGAGAAAAAGGGCACTGCGCATGATCCCTGCTCTCAGCACCACTGAGGCGGTAGGCAGACCACCTCAGCCACCCCTCTGGCCCAGCCCGTTGATCCACCCCTACCCTCACCCCATTTGAAGAACCAGCTCGCCCCCACTCAGGGAGCAAGCAAGGGCACGTGTTACTTGTTTTCGTTCCCTCATGCAGCAGGAAGAGCCCCAAACCCTTGCTGAATTCCCCCTCTGGGGCCTCTTATTAATTTCTACTGATTAAGGAGTCCAAGGACCACAATCAGTTAATACTACTAATTTCCTAATGTGTTATGTATGGAATGTCCTAATAATTTATTGCTCAACCAAGAAACAAACCATACACTGGAACTGCCCCAGGCAAATTGGTTGATATGGTTATCCTAGTTAAGGGCAACAATAAGGAACAAATAAACTAATAAGGTAATTTCTGATAATGATATTTGGTTTGAAGGAGACAAAACAGAATGATTTAATGGAGTGTAGGAAGTCGGAATGGGCTGAATTGAACTGGAAAATGTTACAGATGCACTCTAGCAGTCTCCAGTTTTCCTTCATAACAAACTAAAGACTTTTCTCGGTCATACTCACATCATTTTTCTCCCTTTTAAAAATCATCCTGCATCTTAACTAATTGAAATATTATCTGTCCTTCAAGGTGCAGTTCAAACCCACTTCCTTCATTAATCATTCGCTCCTCAACAAAGAGGTGCAGGGATGCTTTGGACTGTGTTTGTTGTACCTCTGATACTACCTTGAAACATATCTGAGTCACTTCTTTCCAACTCCCCCATCCCGGGCATGGCCCGAGCACCTGCTGCCTCTTACAGAGTAAGCGCTTAGCAAAAGTGATATTTTGATGGAATAGAGCCCAAACCCTAAACTCAAAGATACACTCCTCACTTGCTTGCCCTCCCACTGTAATCTTTTAGATAGACCCCAAATTCTCACACACAGGGCAGCTTCTAATCACCTCTCACATTAGTCATTTCTAATAATTTTTCCTTGAGGGACTGGACTGGCTGCTTCCAATCCATAGGTGTTCTTCCTTGAGGATGAAGGAA